AAAAAATAACATGCATTTTGTATGATCTCTCTTATTTTGTTAAAATGATTCACATTTTCACAGATTCTGCAAGGGGTTCCCAAACTTCGGCATGCCACTGTAATTCTCAAAATTGGTAATTTAGAAATATGTGATCTTTACTAAGTGAAGTTGAGAAAACTTGAAATACACACACACACACACACACGTGTATTGGTGGTTTAAAGGGACTCTTCATAGGCGTAATGGTTTTTATACTGTACAAACTGTATTTTCTATCAACCCTACACCTAAACTAGGGTGACCATACGTGCCATTTTCCCAGGATGCGTCCTGGCCAGGATTTCTATATTGCCTAAAATATCTAGGTTTTGGCTTTGTTTGCGTGTTATTTTGATGTCATACACACCGATCGGTCTGCACACGCAAACAAAGCCAAAACATAGATATATTAGGCAATATAGAAATCCTGGCCAGGACGCATCCTGGGAAAATGGCACGTATGGTCACCCTAGTTTAGGTGTAGGGTTGATAGAAAATACAGTTTGTACAGTATAAAAACCATTACGCCTATGAAGAGTCCCTTTAAACCACCAATACACGTGTGTGTGTGTGTGTGTGTATTTCAAGTTTTCTCAACTTCACTTAGTAAAGATCACATATTTCTAAATTACCAATTTTGAGAATTACAGTGGCATGCCGAAGTTTGGGAACCCCTTGCAGAATCTGTGAAAATGTGAATCATTTTAACAAAATAAGAGAGATCATACAAAATGCATGTTATTTTTTATTTAGTATTGTCCTGAGTATATTTTACATAAAAGATGTTTACTTATAGTCCACAAGACAAAAAATAAAATAAAATTAAAATAACCCCCAACAAATGTTTGGGAACCCTTGGTTCTTAATACTGTGTGTGGTTACCTGGATGATCTACGAATGTTTTTTTTGTTTTGTGATGGTTGTTCATGAGTCCCTTGTTTGTTCTGAACAGTTAAACTGAGTACTGTTCAGAAAAATCCTCCATGTCCTGCAGATTCTTCCGTTTTCCAGCATCTTTTGCATATTTGAACCCTTTCCAGCAGTGACTGTATGATTTTGAGATTCATCTTTTCACACTGAGGACAATTGAGGGACTCATACACAACTATTAAAAAAGGTTCAAACATTCACTGATGCTCCAGAAGGAAACACCATGCATTAAGAGCCCTTGAACACTTTTGAACTGGATGAAGATGTCCAAATTGTTCTTATTTTGTTGAAATATCTTCTTTTTTTTTCATTTAGTACTGCCCTTCGGAAGCAACAGAAGGTACTTGCATGTTTCCCGGAAGACAAATTAAGTACAATTTACCTTGATATTCAAATTCAAAAAGTTTTTTATTATAGGCATGCTTTTAAGCAACTAGTTAATGAGAATTGGTCCCTAAACTAAAGTGTTACATGGTGGACGTGTTATGTTTTACACTATTAAATAAGTTGGTAACCAACTTATTTCATAGCATAAAACATAACGTGTCCTCCCTGTTGCGTCAGTTTATACTGGACATGAAAATATTAAACAAATCAACCCATATAGTATGATACAGGAGAACGGAGTTAAGACTCAAGGAGAGAAAGACACAATTTTATTCAAAGGCCAAAGTGAGACGGAGAAAAAAAATGCAATTTGGTGCATTTGCTTATATTTATATAGCTAAAAAAGTAAGATTAAATTCTGATAGCTTGTAATGTAAATCATTATTCATAACAGTGTTACAGACTATTAAAATACACATACAGTCAGGTCTGGAAGTATTCGGACACTGACTGAGTTTGTGCTTTTGCCTTTATACACCACTACAATGGATTTGAAATAAAACAATCAAGATGTGATTGAAGTAGCTTTATTTTAAGAGGTTACACAACAATATGACATTTACAATTTAGGAGTTACAGCCATCTTAAGCAAAGTACCAACATTTTCAGAGGCTCAATAGTATTTGGACAAAGTGACATAATTATAAATATAAGCACAATTTTAATACTTGGATGAAAATCCTTTGCAGTCAATGACTGCCTGTAGTCTGGAGCCCATGTACATCACCAAATTCTGAGTTTCCTCCCTGGAGATGCTTTGCCAGGTCTACACTGCAGCCACCTTGAGTTGCTGCTTGTTTGTGGGTCTTTCTGCCTTCAGTCGTGTCTTCAGTAACTGAAAAGCATGCTTTATTGGATTGAGATCAGGTGACTGTCTTGGCCACTGAAGAATATTCCATTTCTTTGCCTTCAAAAAGTCTTGAGTTGCTTTCGCAGTATGTTTAGGGTCATTATCCATCTGCACTGTGAATCTGCGTTCTATTAGTTTTGTAGCATTTGGTTGAATGCGAGCAGAGAGCATAGCCTTAAAGACCTCAGAATTCATCCTGCTACTTCTGTCAGCAGTTACATCATTAGACATTTAGTCATTTAGCAGACGCTTTTATCCAAAGCGACTTACAATTGGGGAATACATAAAGCGATTCTTCTTAAAGAGGCAAACAGACACAGGAAGTACTTGAAATACCAAGTTTTAGGCATTGTTCAAATAAGTACAAGCTAGAAAGGGAAGGAATAAATAAAGAGAAAGAACAAGTTTTTTTTTTTTTTTTTTTTTAAGATGAAGTCAAGTAGCGTTTAAAGAGATGAGTTTTCAGATTGTCAGAGATTCAGCATTCCGGATAGGGGTGGGAAGATCATTCCACCAGCCAGGAACAGTGAACGAGAATGTTCTGGAAAGGGATTTTGAGCCTCTCTGTGATGGTGCCACGAGGCGTCGCTCACTAGAGGATCTCAGACTTCTGGAGGGGATGTAGATTCATAGTAGTGAGTGGAAGTAGGTGGGTGCTGAGCCTGTTCTGTATGCAAGCATCAATGTCTTGAACTTGATGCGAGCCGCAACCGGTAGCCAGTGCAAGGAGATAAAGAGAGGTGTAACATGGGCTCTTTTGGGCTTGTTGAAGACCAGACATCATTCATACATAAACACCAGTGAGCCCGTTCCATTGCTATACGTACATGCCCCTGCCATAACACTGTCACCATGATTGACACTTAATGTGGTGTGCTTTGGATCGTGAGCTGTTCCTGTCTTTCGCCATACTTTTTTCTTCCCATCAGTTTGGTACAAGTTAATCTTGGTTTCGTCAGTCCAAAGAAGGTATCTAAGGCATCTTGTTGTGAACCCTCTGTATTTACATTCATGGAGGCGTCTCTTGATTGTAGATTTTGACAATGATGTGCCCACCTCCTCCAGAGTATTCTTGATTTCTGTTGATGTTATGAAGGGGGTTTTCTTCACCAAGGAAAGGATTCTGCGATCATCCACTTTAGTTGTCTTCCAGGCCTTTTGATGTTGTTGAGCTCACCACTCCTTGCTTTCTTCTTAAGAATGTAGCCAACCGTTGATGTTATCTCACTTACAGATTTATGTTGTTTTTTTTCAACTTAATGATGGCCTCCTTCACGTTCATTGAGAACTTCTTGAACTTTATATTGGTAGCACCATCAAACAACTTCCAAATGCCAATTTGATACCTCATATCAACTCCAGATCTTTTATCTGCTTAATTTGTCTTGAAGTAACGAGGGAATGGACAGCACCTGGTCAATTAACCTCTTCTTGTTCAACTGTCCAAATAGTATTGAGCCCCTGAAAATGTAAGATGGCTGTAACATTTTTGTGGAACTTCTTAAAGTAAAGCTAAAAGTCTGCACTTCGATCACATCTTGTTTTATTTCAAATCCATTGTCGTGGTGTATAAAGGCAAAAGCACAAAAACTCAGTCAGTGTCCGAATACTTCCAGACCTGACTGTAAATATCAGATGTCATTCTATATCTCCCAATAATATGTCTAAGCAAATCATATTTAAACACTTAGTTTTATGATCAAAGCTCTGTATTTTTCATTGTGCAAGCAAAACGTATTATGTTAGATATTCATATTTTAACAAGACCATGAAAAAAAAAATTATGGACAATCAAGTCAATCTAAACTGCTTCAGTCCAGTAAATGTCCATCTTGAAATACTACTAACAATATGAAAGTTATTCTTATGCTAATTTTGTCAGAGCTCAATATAGCACCAGGCCCTATTCACACATTTACAAGAGCACCCAGGACATCCTGCTACACTTTTCCTTTAGAGTTTGTGAAAGTATGTTTGGAACAAAATAAATGATTTTTTTTTTAAGTTTTGCAATATTTATTTATTTGATTTGTACATTTAATGGTCTCAAGAATTGGGTAAAAAGATCATACAGATCATAATGATCAACACAGAGCAGAACTGTTTTTGGAACATAACAATTATTACATTAAACTGTAGGACAAAAAGACAAATACCAATTCAGGCTCGAGTTTCAATCCATGCCAACTCACTTTTCAAGTAATGAACAAGGATTTAAGTTAATTTAGTTCATGAAATTGGTTAAACTGAAACAATCATATTAATGACAGTTTTATATGTAGACCATCCATTGTGTTGTGAGCTGCTCTATGGTACTTTTCACCTACAGCCCAGCTCATACAGATCTGAGTACTACATATATATTAGTTTTTTTTAGAAACAGCATAACACTATACAGACACATTTCATAGCTTAGACACATTTTTAGCAGGTCTCCATAGGAATTTATAACACATTGTCTAAATTTTTACAGAAATCCATAAAGTTTGCTTCCAACCAAGAACATGTATGAAACAGCAAAGCCCTTTAATGAGCTCTAACATCTCTAAAGGTTTTCCCTCCGTCGCTTCATGGCTGTTCTAGAGCGAAGAAAAGAGAGGCCCAGGTGTGGCGATGATATCACTGTAAGGGGCGCTCTGGTGCAGATTGAGGATTTGTTGTTTCCTCAACACCAGCAGGCAGAAAAATATGGCTGCCACGTATGAACGACTGCTGCTCTCACATAAAGCGTGAAGACTGAACACGGCATTGGGGGAAGAGTCTTGTTTCTGAAAAGAAACATGACGTTAGGGCAAGTTAAATCCAAAATAAAAATAAAATAAATAAAAAACACCAAAAGGTATCTTGACTCTTTTTATACTGAAATGTAAACGTTGTTATTCAAAACACTTTGTGATATCCAAGTTTAAAAATTGAGAAATAATGATTGAATAAAAAAAAAAAACTAACACTAGCTTTTCTAATCTTTTTGTATTCTATCTACTTGTTTTCATTTTATTTATAATACAATTAACAAAAGCAAAAAAAGGCGACACTAGCTTACTCTATTCTATGTTTTCTTTTATTTATTATATTATTTAAAAAAAAAACCTTGCTACGTGTACTGCGTTATGCTAACTGAGACTTGTTATAGCACTTGCATATCATTGCTCTTTTATTGATTTTGATTGCTTCCTTTGTCCTCATTTGTAAGTCGCTTTGGAATAAAGCATCTGCTAAATGACTAAATGTAAATGTAATGTAAATCAATAACATTATTTGACTGTGTTTTTGAACCACCCACTTTAATCTTGTATGGCTGACGTGAAACGTGACCAATCACAGTTTGCTTTGGTTTAGACAACAAAACATAAAAGATATCAATCAGAAAATAAAGCAAAATATACAATTCTGTTTATAGACATCTACGATATGTATCCTAAAAACTCAAAGATTATTAACACTACCCTGTCAAACTTCTGCAAATCCAGTGATTAGCTCTTCCACAGCAGTTCAGTTGTTACTGTATCGACCCCGTATCTTGTAAATATGACTGTCCTGGCAGACTGGTGCACCCCAACACCCACAAGTTACATGAAGTCAACTGGAACTGACTAGAACTAGCACTTTCAGACAGCCATGTTTGTGTATACAGTAAATACACAACAACCGTCATGTCTCCAAGATCTCAAAGTCATACAAACTACACAGATTATATTTCATATAAATCCTAGACAGAACCATTGATCTATATAATATCGAATATAAATGTTTCTATATGATATCCATCAGCGTATAGAACATATTTCATATAATCACATATCCAACCTGATCTCATGACGAAAACGTACCTGTGGGAACTTTTTTTCAAGACGCAAAATACGTAGTGCCATGTTAGGGATGCTCATTTTAACCGGTTAACCGCTAACCAACCGTAAGAATTTTGATCGATAAGTACAATTAGTTAAACGGTAAAAAAGTTATTTATTTTTTCAGTAATTTATCAGAATATTTTAAAAGGTTTGCTGCATGGTTAAAATATGCTATGCGTATAAAAAAATAAATTTTAGAGAGGGGGAAAAAAAAAGTTGCATATAAGTAGCATTTTATTATTTAATTCAGAAATAGGCCTAATGCGGACACAAAATGTTTACAAACACTATAATAAACACTGTAAACATAGCTAGGCTATTTTAGTTCCCCTCACTCCACAACAAATCCTTTCAATTTAACAGTATTTAGAAAATAACAAGAATTAAAAATATAGGACGCTATAGCTATATAGGCTAAACCAGAGGTCCCCAACCACGGGGTCGCGACCAACTACTGGGCCGTGGAAGAATTGCTACCGGGTCACAAGAACGTTCTGGGAAAAATGTCTATAGATATGACACTCTGTTATTTATTTATGTTAATGATTGTTCTAATTACTCTGTATTTTCTTTGTATGCGATTAATATGGAGTAGCAATTTGACAATTTCATGTTAAATAAGTAACTGAAAGATTGTTCTGATCTGCCACATATTAGGAGTTAAACGGATCGCAGTTGATCCATAATACGTACGGATGAGACCCTACCGTTCGGCACGCATGTGATTCGCAGATTAATTTGCCAATTTACACGTACAAGCAATTTTAAACCACAAGAAGAAAAAACGAAAGAGAGCTCAATTCGTTACTCACGCGCTGCTCTCGTACACAATCAAAGCTGCACAAGAGATGTGTTTCAGACAGTGCGGAAATACCGAGTTGCGTATACACACACATAAAATTATGTCAAAAACACTTCACGGCATTGTCATTCTCTGTGCTTTACATATTTTTTTTCTTGCTTATCCGAAAGAATAGTCCGATCTGTTACTCAAAAAAAATGTGAGAATATTTTACAAACGTAACCAGTCCTTGGTGTAAAAAAGGTTGGAGACTCCTGGGCTAAACGACAAGCCAAAACGAATTCATTTGAGCTAAAACGAAACTGAAACCAAACGTTGGGTCTCTCATTCGACACAAAATCAAATGTTTCTGTATTCGTGATGTATTTGAATGCCAAAATATTATTTATAATGTACTTCACTTGCGTTTCACGTAAAACAAAAAGTTTTGCATAACATCACGGCGGTACGGTGATAACACTTAACGGCACAGATTTGACTACATATTTAAACTGAGCAGTGTGTTTTTCCCATATGTTTGACTGACTGTATTTTATTATGATAATGAACATTGAATTGTCAAGGTAGCAATGCTTAACTGTGTGCACGCATGTGGCGCCGGCGCAATCACTTAAATTTTTTCCTTCGAACAGTGGAAGCAACTACTCCTTTTAGTTCTAAAGATAATCAGAATTGTAAAAGGTTTGCTTTTATTTGTGTACATTCACAATAAAAACAAATCTTTGTGCTTTTGTAAAATAGGCCTAAAGAAAAATAGGATGCCGCTTTCTACCGTCTTGGTTTCCTTTCGCGCAGCACAAAAATGAACTGAAACTCTGCATACTAGGCTACTTGTTGCACAGTTTTTTCTTTCGTTTTCTTAATTTATTATTTAAGTAAAATTATATTTCTCGTATAGGCCTATTTATTCTTATATAATAGCCTAGCTTTATTATGTTTTTCTCCGCTGGCAGAAGCACTGCAGGTGCATGATGTGATATGATATGACCATGTTAATCCTCATGTTCTGTTGTTTGCTGCTTTTTGCGCATGTAAATGAATCCCCGGAAAACAAATGTTAGTATTTTTAACGGGTCACAGACATTTATCCTTTCTAATTTAATTCAATTCTAATTTAAAATAATCTTGTTGGTTAATAATCGGTTAACGAGCGTCGGTTGTCAGTTAGGAGAAATAACCGAAATGAACATCCCTATGCCATGTACATTTCGTGACATATTCAATGTAAAATGTCTACTGAGTGGCGTTAAAAGTGTTCGTTTTTTCCAGATGAACAGAATAGGAATAGATGAATGTACACATGGTACGTTTTATGTGACGTTGGTTTTGTGTCACCACAGTTCTGACATCACAAGCATGCCGTTTTAGCTTGTTTTTCGGTCTCTCATCTTTCAGCTGTTTCACCTGTTTCATCATTTCATGTTTTTCACGGCATTCGTACCCAAGGACTCTGTATCTTAAGTCCAGTTCCGTGCTGTCTGAGCTACCCAGCAAGCTTGTTACGTCCAGAAAGCGAAACATATGGAGCTGTAATCATAACGATGTACAAAAACGATTACAAGTGCTTGCTTTTTTACTGCCTCTAGTGTTCATTTCTGCTGGAAACTGCAGTGATATGTACTTATTGGTATGTTATTTCTCATCTTGCGAAAAAATTCCCATGCACAGGTACGTTTTCGTCATGAGATCAGGTAGCACATATCACAGTGCTTTAATACGGCCTGCTATTGCCACTGTGAGCAGAGCATGTTAAATGAACGAGACTGAGTTTATGCCCTTAAGCCTGCAGCTCTCATCACCACCCATATATTTAATTTCCCACTCTCTTATTTCTTCACACCTAGTCCTCATCTACAACTGCTCCACACGCCAGGCCTGATCAGCATCAACTCTGTCTGTGGATTTGGTGTTTGATTATTTCTTACTTTGAGGGCCTGGAGGAGGTCGTGTGCCCGACTGGTCATTCTCTTATCCTCTACATCCTGGCTGTTCAGAGCAGACTGCAGACAAAGGGAAGAGGTCATATTTTACACACACATCAGTTTTTTCTGCTCAACAAGGCAGCATTTACTTGATCAAAAATACAGTAATATTGTGAAATATTATTGCAATTTAAAATAACTGTTTTCTATGTGAATATACAGTATGTTAAAATGTAGTTTATTGGTGTGATGTAACGTTTAATTTTCAGCATCATTACTCCATCTTCAGTGTCACATGATCTTCAGAAATCATTCTAATATGCTGATTTGCTGCTCAAGAAACATTTCTTTATTATTGTCAGTGATGAAAACAGTTGTGCTGCTTTATATTTTTGTGGAAACCGCAATATATTTTCAGTATTCTTTGATGAACAAAATTCAAAAGAACTAATTTATTTGAAACAAATCTTTTGTTTGTAAATATTTTTAAAGCTTTTCTGACTGTCACTTTTGATAAATTTACTGCTGAATAAAAGTAGTAACTTTTAAAAAAAATCTTACTGACCTCAAACATTTAAACAGTAGTGTAAGAACATGTTTGACATAGGATTTCAATGATTATAAAATTACAGTAAATTTAACAAATAGTTCAGATCAAAAAGATTGAGTCCCCCTTATCTGTTGCAATAATCTGACTGGCATTCATGCACACACTCAATGGAATATTTGAATTCACTTTCTCAGTTTTTCTTTATTCAGTTTTTCATAGAAAAGTTTGTAAAAGCCACAAGTTACTTATTTCCTTATAAAGTGTATGGATTTTAGAAGTGTGAATAAAGAGTCATATAATATTTAAACATTACTCTGAAAATTAAACTCCAATAATATTGCTGGCGATGTAATATTTGGCAATGACCATTTATGGAATGCAAGATTGCAGCAAAAAAAATTGTGACCATGTTAACATTTTTGTTTTCAGGTAATGTTGTTAATAAACTTCTTAAAAGGAGTTATTGGAATATTCATTGTTATTCGAGTTTAAATTGAGTTCAACAAATATAACAAATTGGATTGATTACTACCTCACTGACAATGTCATTGCACAGTGCAAAGATGTCACTAGTCGACATAAAATTTTCATTAAGTCGACATTGTTTATTTAATAATCAGTATTTATGTGTGGTAAAGTGTTTAGCACTACCTGTGTGTGAGTCAATGGGGTTTCCCTCATATCTCCAGATGGGTTAAGATGCAAGGAGATCTCAGAGGGAGGCTCTGAATATGACACCTCCAATCTTCTCTCCTCCTTTGAACGAGAGAGGGTGAGATGGGGGTGAAATGATAATTACGAATGATAATCAGAATGTTATTATGAGTAATTACATTCTGATGAAATATTACAAATCTAGACCAGTAAATCCCTCACAATAAGACCAGTAACATGTATAGCTAGTACACAGGGCTGAAGTGCTTATGCAGTTCTTACACTGGTGGTGTTCCAGGGAGATGGAGGTTCTGGATGAGTGACAGAAGCTTCTACAGTAGTGTCTCCACCTGCTGCTTGATCTGGACCAACAGAGTCTTGCAGCAACCTCCAGTCACCCAGAACCGGCTGAGCGGAGATTTCCCAGACCTCTACAGGTTCACACAGACACATACACACACACATTTTGCAGAAAGGACAGACTGAAATTTAAGTCTTTATTCACAGAAAATGTTGCTCTCCTAGTGTGTTCAAAACACACAAAAAAAATATTTGAGAGCTCTGAAAGGGAAGTGAAAAAAAATATTCAGTGAAATGTGCTATCATTTGACTTCAGAAGGCTTAAAATATTAAATTGCTATATTCAAATCAATTTCACTGCATCGAGAAAAAAAAACACCAGATACATTCTGCTACTATGACACAGTAATGGCAGATGTTTACTCACTTTCATGTTGATTTCAAACCTGTTCAAACCTTTTTTTTTCTGCAGAACACTAAAAAGTTATTTTTGAGAAATGTCTGCGTCTGTGGAAGAATTGTTGCTAGGACAGCGCAATGACTGCGGCTTAAATATGCTCATAATGATGATTGACAAGACTGAATGATTAGGCTCCTCCCGAACCTACGTTTGGAACTTAATTTCATGTTCCTCAAAAGAAAGAAAGTTGTACAGGTTTGGAATGACTTGAGTGGGAGTAAATAATCTCAGAGGCCCTGTTTACACCTGTTTTTAAAGGGGTCATGAACTGAGAAACCAAAATTTCCTTGATCTTTTGACATAAAAGAGGGCATTGTACTATAAAAACATCCTTTAAGTTTCAGCCACCTCCACAGAAGAAGATCAGCACCCACCGATTCGCACATGTAGTGGAGAGAGGCGAACAAGCAGGTTTATGCAGAAACCAAACGATAAAGATGGCTCTGAAGACAACAAGATGCTGTGCAGTGCCAAGTTGTGGAAAAAAAGTGTTTGTGTTGCCTTCCTTCTGATCCCAACGTTAGGAACGAGTGAATGAACTTTATTTTTAATGAAGATCCAGACTGCGTCATTAAGAACTTGGTCTTTTGTTCACTTCTTTTTTTTTTTTTTACCACGGATTCATTTAAAAACAAGGCGCGATTCGATGCGGGATTTTCAGAAAGACTGAAACTAAAAGACGATGCTGTGTCGGCTATATTGGATCCGACAGCCATGTTGCAACACACAAGTGTGAGTAATTATTTTTATTACGTGGCCACTATTATTGTGTATTATCGTTTTATATGTATGGAGTATTTATGTGATTTTAACCTAAATCACAGCAGTGTCTATCTATGTGTATGTCAAACATACACAAGCCAATCATGGCAGTGGGCGTTTACTTTTGAGTCTACTATCCTCCACGCCTATTTAAACAGAGCGTTCAGATGAGGGGGTCAAAAACAGGACAGAAAATAGCCTTTTACTTCTAAATTATTATGTTTTGATGTAAAAATCTTGATAACATTATAAGTCGACCTTAGAGAACAGTACAAAATAAAAAACAGTGGCAGTTCATGACCCCTTTAAGATGTGTTTTCGTCAATCCAATCACAAGTAGAAGACGTCAAATACAGGTGTAAAAGGGGTCTAAAAGGTTTTAAGCTTGTCCACTTTCGACCACTTCAAAAGGTAGTCGAAAGTGCATTCAACTGGATTGTTTTTGAAGCGTAGATTCTCATGTGGTCAAATGCATACAATCAGCCAATTCAGAAAAGATTAATTACTGAGATTTCAGCAACTCGAGAGTCTAGACCAGGGATGGGCAACTGGAGAGGTCGCTATTTTCCAGCCACTCCCCGTATTAATTTCAGCGTAGTAGGACGTGCACTCTAATGTAAACATTCACTAACATTAGCAAATAATAAATTAAACACTGACCAGGGAAACTGTCACGAATTCAGTCCATGGGCTTCTGTTTATTCACCACCAGAGGTCACCCTTTCCATTACATTGACTCTCGCACAACACAAACTGTTGCATAGCACCCTGGATTACATATCCCATCCTTCTTTGCACGATTTGTACACTGCCCTGATTGCACACAGCTGTTTCTAATCACCTCACTCACTATATAACACCCACTCTAACCACCTTTCTCTGCTGAGTATTGTTTAGCCTGTACCCCTTTCCGAGTCTCCGTGTTTTCCTTGTTTTGCCTTGCCTTGCCTGTTTCTGCGGTATCTGATCTTTGCCTGTTTTCCTGGATTTTTCCCTCTCGTCTCGCCCCTGTGATTCTGTCTGCCAATCGGTGACCTACGCTAGCCCTAGGACTATTCTTGTGTTTTGCCCGCCATATACCTGTTTGCCATTGTTTGACCCTGCCTGTTTACCACGTCTCTCTAATAAAAGCTTGCAGATGGATCCACACGTCTCACGTCTCGTCAGCCCCGTTACAGAATACTCAGCCCTACAAGGACCCAGCAGCTTTTCTGAGGAACATTGGCCAGGTATGGACACCGCAAGGATTTTGTTAGCCCTTAAACAGGGTCCACGATCACTGGAGAACTATAAGAGTAAGAACTATAAGAGAAAACTGAGAGTTTTTAGCCATTGCTCACTATTCTGAGTTACCAGACTGTTTATTAATAGAGTTTTTCTGCGATGGCATAAATCAACCTCTGAGGGCTAAGCTTAGACGCGAGGGTCCACGTTCATCACTCGCTCAGTTCATGGATTATGCTTTGTTGACTGTCGGATCTGTATTTACTGTGGGTGTCGCGGAGGATCCTGAGTCTGGTCAAGTCACAGCTGATACTCATGAGTCTGGTCAAGTCACAGCTGATCTTCATGAGTCAAGTCAAGTCACAACTGATCTTCAGGAGTCAAGTCAGGTCACAGTTGATCTTCAGGAGTCAAGTCAGGTCACAGTTGATCTTCAGGAGTCAAGTCAGGTCACAGTTGATCATCATGAGTCAAGTCACAGCTGATCTTCTTGAGTCAAGGGAAGTCACAGCTGATCTTCTTGAGTCAAGGGAAGTCACAACTGATCTTCATGAGTCAAGTCAAGTCACCGCTGATCTTCATGAGTCTGCAGAGTCGGTGGCTGAGGCTACAGTATCTCCTGAGGTGGTGGTGCTCGCTGCTGTGTTCCTCGAAGCGATGGTGCCCGCTGCAGTTTCTCCAGAGGTGGCGGCGCATGCTGCAGAACCTTCCGAAGCGGCGGTGCTCGCTTCAGCCGCTGATCTTCATGAGTCAAGTCGAATCACAGCTGATCTTCATGAGTCAAGTCGAGTCACAGCTGATCGTCATGAGTCCAGTCAAGTCTCAGCTGAGCTGCCAGAGCCTCATTACGTCACAGCTGATCTTCTAGTCTCGCCATGTCTCAGCTGTCCGTCCAGAGTCTCGTCACGTCTCAACTGTTCGTCCAGAGTCACGTCACGCCTCAGTTATTCATCCAGAATCACATTGCATCACAGCTGATCATCCAGAGTCATGTCACATCCTGTCTGTCACACCCAGATTCTCAATGTCAGTCCTTCGGTATCCCAGTCTGGTATCCAGTGTGAGGGATGCACCGCTGGTGTCTGCACGCACTGCTGGTATCCCCAAACCCACTCACTCTAACCCTTCTGTTCATGAACTAATTCCCCTGTCTGAAGTTCCAGCCAAGGAGGCCGTCAATGAACTCTCTGTCTGTTCTGTTCCGGCTAAGGAGGCAGTCTATGAACTCTCTGCTCATCCTGTTCTGGCCCAGGAGGCCGTCAATGAACTCTCTGTCTGTTCTGTTCCGGCCAAGGAAAGGAGGTCGTCTGGGAACTCTTTGTCTGTCCTGTTACGGCTATAGAGGCCGTTTACGAACTCCCTGCTTGTCCTATCATGGCTATGGAGGCCGTCGGGGAATCCTCATCCTGTCCTGTCACGGTTATGGAGGCCGTTTGTGAACTATTGTCTTGTCCCGACCCAGCCAGGGAGGCTGCCTGCCCCGCTGTGGTGGTCTACTGTCGGTTACACTTTACTTGAAGTGGTGTGCATAAGACTGACATGACACCTTCATAATCATGACATGACACCTACATAATAATGACGTCATGAATATGAAGGTTTTGTATGCATGTTTATGACAACGGTCATTAAGTGTCATTCGCTCAGTTATGTAATTTTTAATGCAAAGATGACATTGTTTGAGATGTCTTTGTTATGGGCTATGGTTAGGGGTAAGAGTAGGGGTAGGGTTAGGTCAAATAATGTCCTATTTGCATTAAAAATGACATAACTGAGCGAATGACACTTAATGACAGTTGTCATAAACATGCATCAAACCTCCTTCATATTCATGACATGTGTCATGTCATGAGTATTTTTCAGTCAAGATGGTAAACAGATTATCGTTTTACCAAGTTAAAGGGGATACCCATATGTTTGGGTTGTTTGGAAATCTGTATATTATTTAAATCGCCATCACACCACTGCTCACAAACAACGGGGTCGCCAGAGTTGCCTCAAATTTCAAAGGCCATGAAAACTCTTAAATGGTACAAAAAAAATCTTAATTATAAGAGGTCTTAAATTTGGGGACGGAAAGACAAAAATTGCTATATAGATTAATATGACGTTGATTGAACTTCAAAGGGTTTCACTGAATAAACTTGAGCGCTGCGTGCTTTGTGTACTGTTGTTGGAAACCACTATATTTCTGCCGTTCCGAAAGTGCTGGCAGAGAACAAATTTGCATTTTCAATAAGCCCTTCTGCTGTTTTTGCTACATATTTTTAAATGTGAACCGGTGGACCGACATGAAGCTAATGCATTATCAATTGATTAATTGATACTTTTGACTCATTCCTTTTATTAAAAATTGTTTAAAGGCTGAAATGTAAAGTGCAGGTCTCAAAAAAGGTCTTAAATTTGATTTTAAAAATCCTGCAGATACAAGGTTATATTATGGTACCATTTGGAATAACAATTTTTTTGAATAAGCCCTTTTTAATTGTCCTCTTAGGTTGTTTTGAGAAAGTTCTGAAGGCCACTTATAAAAAATAGGACCTCTGTACATTTGTTTGTTGCAAATTTACAGACAATGCAAATGAGATGTTTACATTGGTGGCTTCTTGGTGTAATATTGCTGTCAACTGACAACAAAGTTTCCCTTCTGAATTAGCTTAACTGCACAAGTTTTATAGTTAATAAAATCTTTAAAAATAAATTACATTAATTATACTTTAATTTCATTCAATAAAAAGGAAATTGAGTAATACGGTGTAAAAGGTGTGTGGACGTGGATTAGTAATCTGGCCCTTTGGTATAAAGCAGAAAAAATGCTGGCCCTCGTCACTATCAAAGTTGCCCATCCCTGGTCTAGACAAAATCTGAATATGGAAGACGCATTTAAAATGCATGCTAGGACCAGGTATGAATGCGTCTCAGCTGATCACTTATCGCATCACAGAAAATGCATCTTCATACCATAACCATCAACTCTGCTTCTGTCTGATGCAATGTGATTCGTTACCCTCTCTAGGTTGCTCTCTCATCTCCTCTGGGTCAGTCTGCTGTCTCGCTCCTCCCTCCAAGCCTGGTCTCCTAGGTGATGTGCCACAAGGGAACAGCTAGAGGAATAGAGGGAAAGGAATATTTCCCATGATGCACTGCATAATGCTACACTGACAGTATAATGATAGCTGTGCACTTCAGCTCTGATGCTATTTCAGCAGAGGGTGTGCAATACCTGCTTTAAGTCAGGGTGTAAGAGTGGAAGGCAAAAACTGGAGAAGAGCTGCTTCACTCCTCCATTCTCCCTCCACTCCATGAGCTGCCGAGTGGGCGGGGCTATCTCCAATGGGGTTACAAGGTCGGAGCAGTCAGCCAGGTGATTCCTGATGTCATCGTCTGTTAGTTCCTTTGACCGGTCAATCACCAGCTTCCGTTTCCTCGTGCCTCTTTTCCTTGTTGAAGAAGCTGAGCACATGTTTGAACTTTCCATTAGTCTGATACGCCAAATGTGAGTAAAAATCAGCATTGGTGAGTATACAGTATGAACCAGTGATAATTGCCAGTCGGCCGTAACTTTTTATATTAATTATAACAATGTCTAAGAACACAATATGGTTCAGTGTGATTATGAAGTCACAAAAACTGTTTTCAGTGTGTTGGGGTTAGTAAATGCTGCTCCACACAAACTCCACTTCTGAAAGTGCTTCTAAGGCACTAAGAATCTGTTGTCAATCGAAGAGAAGCATTTCTAAAGAGAAGTTTCCCTGCTGTTTTCAGCCAAAATAAATCTCTATGGTTTAACATTTGAAGGCAAAGAAAAAAACAACAATACGAATGATTATTTTTATGGAAATTAAAATTATTAATATGCAGGGATGCAAACTCATCAAACAATATTTTTATTTTTATCTTATTATTTTTAACTTTATAGTTGTGCAATAAAATTCACTTTTTATTGATGACGATGACTTGAAAAAATGTGCCAAAAATCCTTGTGGAAAACAAAGGCGTTAGAGATGACAATCACATGAAATTACCATTATATCCAGTAGATGGCGGCAGAGGATCACTCATTAGCTCAGTTGATTTAATTAAAAAACTAAATTATTAAAAACATTTCCTTAAAAAGGACACATCAAAAATAGTGTTTTAAGTTATATTTTTAACTGTAGAAGCTGTTAAATATATTCAGCCAACACAGACTTTTTGCTATTGTAGTTTTGTCACTGAATTTTCTCTGCATCACTTGAAGCACAAGTCTGTTTTTGACATCGGTTTGTCAGATAGTTCTTTCCGCCCAGTGCTACAGTTATCACTGTCAATCATAGCAATGGCTGACGGAACAATTTAGCGGATTTATGCGCGTAATTTTTTACACTCGCATTTGTCACTCCTGAAACAGCAAAGGTGGATGTTTGATCCTCTTAGACAAACAAAACTTTTCTTCAAATTGTCAATGGATTATGTAGAGAAACCGAGCAAAGGGCTCCTCTTATAGCGCAACTGACTGAGCTTACTCACATGAAAACTCCTGATATAATCAATGACTAACTACAGAATTAATCTCTTATACACACCGCGTGTGTGCTTTTTCTCTCTTTCTCTTGTTATGTTAGGTAGATCTGCAAGCGTGTAGAACTCTTACATGGATTTTGTCATTCGAAACCAGAGCGTGCATGCAAAAACACACAGGACTGTTTAAAAGCAGTTGACTACAAGCGGGTACAGAACAGAATTGGTATTAATGGTACTGTAAAAAGACCCCCCCTCCTCACCAAAAACACTTTCTCATCAAATCTACACAAATCTCGAAGGTGACCTATTTTGATCTCAAAAAGATGAGTTTTTTTACCGAAAGGTGAGAAGTTTGCATCTATGAATATGAAATACTTTAATAATAATAATTGCAGTTAGATATGTTTCCCCAATTTGTTCTGAACTTTTTAATTAAATGATGCACATACAGTTTCATTGCTGGTCAAGATGTAATTTTCTAAAATTTCTCAAGTCACCAGCCATTGGCAGGTGTGGCAAAATGTTAGTTTTAGGCCCTGGTCTGATAATTTGTGACCATGTCTAGATTCAGAATGGAATAGTAGAATACTGCTTTCTGAGCAGCATGTACTATATAATGCAAATTAAAACTCAGTGAATTACATGTTTAATTCAGTGAGTGGTGTCCAGTTGCCATCTCAAAATATAAAAAAGCAAATGTTGTATTTGTGATCCAATATTATGCAAAAATGTCTTAATATTTGTCAGCTAAAAAAAGTCAAGAAAAACTATGGTTGATATTACTTTGTTAGACACTGTATATGCTGTAATATTCTTCAATAAATATGCTCTGGTTGCACATTACACCTTTTGTCAAATCTAGTAGGAAATTATGGTATTCCTAAACACAGACTATCTACATAGTGTGCACTGTGTACATACTGCAGCAGCTAATTCATTACCATGATTAGCCCTAGAAAATGTACGTGGATATTTTTATTCCTGATTGTCAACAGCACCCTCAAGTGGCTTCATGAGAGCAGTTAAACCTCAACATTCACCCAAAGATGACATTTCTGTCACCATTTACTCACCCTCATGTTGCTCCAAATCTGTACAACTTTCTTTCTTCTGCAGAACATAAAATAAGATATTCTGAAGAATGTTGATAACCAACAGTTCAGTTACCTTTGACAATGTATGGACAAAAACACATTTCTCAAACTATATTCTTTTATGTTTGTCAGAAGTAAGACTCATGAAGGTTTGGAATGATTTGAGGGTGAGTAAATGATGAGTCTGTTTAACAGTTCAACATTGAACAATGTACAACAATGTACAACAATTTGAGGCAAAGCTCAAAACTGCTGCTCATATAATTCTCCAGAGCAGCTAAAACTCACATGTGACAACAACTGGTGCAAGAGCGAAACCTTCCTCTGCATTTACTAAGAAAGTGGTCTCGGTTGGGGCTGGACTGCTCCTACCCTTTAAACAGGAAAGTTCTGGTTTCAAAGACTCCGGCTCTTTGAGAAAATGACACAGTGGTAAATGTTAACATTGCAAGCAAAGGCCATTTCTTAATTACAGATTAAAAAAAGTGTTAATATTAAAATTTTTACTGTACACCCATATAACCAATTAGAAATTAACCATTTATCATTTTACAAACTAAAGGTCATATAGTAAACATGTAAAGCCCATACTACATGTCCTAAGTGGTTTATTAGAATACATATCTAAACGCATTTTTATGTTGTATTAAAGCTTATGCATGTAAGCTTTTAACCTTGAAATATCATATCACTAGCCTTTTCAAAAACTTGGGTCTTTTCAAAGACTACATCTGCATGACAGAAAAAAAAAACTTTTAGGTATGCAAATTAAAAATTTTTACAATCTCTTTATAAGACCTTACAAGCCATAAAGTGTTTTTGATAACAAAACAAATTATTGTGCACATTTTTGCCTTTTCCTTCTCACTATTATTGATTGTGTGTAATTTCATGTGACCAAAGCTTTTAACAATGAAATATGCAGATGAATAAACCATTAACAACAACATAGTTGCTTGTTCATGTTTCAAAGGGTAAAATATATTGTAATGCAAATATATATAAAAATATACCTTGTGCATTGACAGCAGTTGGAGGAGGAGTAGCTGGTAATTCATTAGGAGTTTCATCAAAGATATCAGGCACCACAGCATCATCAGTCGTATTGGCTATAAAATCTTGACAGACCACAAATAAAGAGAAATAAACAAATATTGGACTCAGAGAAGTGGGAGAGTGATACGGTTCCACACTTTTAGTGATTTAAAAAAGACAAAAATTAGGCAAATGTGTTTGTACAAATTTAGATACAACGATTTTGTACAAATGCACATAAAGCAAGAGGCTTCATATTCACTTATACTACATTATACTATCATACCCCACTTTAATGTGCACACTGAGCCATAGGGGAAGTGTTTGATAAACACTTTTATGGCAAAAAAGAAATTATACACCTTTATAGAAATTATTCACCTTCAACATTAAACCAGATTTGATTTTGAAATAAGGGCATTTTAATGTATCCAACTTCTTATTTAAACATTTCATTATTTGCTATTATTGACTATAACTGTAAAGGTATAGTTCACCCCAAAATGAAAATTGTGCCACTCCCTTTAACTCTTTGTAATCAGCAAGACCTATAACACTATCTTTAAACAATGAATAAATATTTATTTGACATTTGGTTAACATTTATCAATATTTTAATCTTTATATATAATGTATTTTATTGAGCAATGCTAATTATAATGAAGTATTTTTGCATTACTTAAAAAATTATTGTTTTATTTGAATATCATGCATTAGAAAATACATAATGTCAGCATTTATTTCAATTTGACTTTAAACATACACATAAATATGACTAATTTCATTAGCATGTGCGAATTTTCAGTGTAAAAGCACTCATAAATGAACTCATAAATGTTTATACTGTACCAATGAGGTCGACAGCCATTTCTTCATCACCAAAGCAATCGCCATGGACACTGAAACTCTGATCAAACAGTCCTTGATAAGACTGGATTTCCTCACCTTTGAACGGGAAATACAACCACAGACATCTACAGTTTTACAAAGTCTATGTAAAAACTTGGTTTATTGATCATTCAGAGGTGTTACCTATTCTCTCCATGGTGAGAAAGTGGTTCTCAAAGTTCTCTTTGAGGGTAATATCTTCAGTGCGGCACTGGTTCAAAGAGAAGTGATCGACCACATCAATGGTGCTGGGTGAGACATGACATGCCAAATAAGTCATAAAAACACTTGGCATACATCAGCAAAAAAATCTATATGAAGAGCTGTGAGTTGTTAATAAACATGATACTTGAGATCAGGCAGCTGGGAATCAAAGTCAGTGAAGTCCTCTGGGAGAGTGATATTTTTTAAGGTGGCCTCCATCGCATCCTCAGGCAGATCTGTCTGTCCTGTGAATAAAAATTAAATATTGTTGAGTTCTCATGCAGGGTTCCCTCATTCTGTTGTGACTGACGGATTTAAAGGGGTCATATGATGCGATTTTTTCCTTTCTCTTTGGAGTGTTACAAGCTCTTGGTGCATAAAGAACATCTGTAAAGTTGCAAAGACTAAAGTCTCAAATCCAAAGAGATATTCTTTATAAAAGTTCAGAGTCAGCCACGCCTACCTAAAACAGCTCGTTCTAACACGCCCCACATATCTACGTCACTATGTGGGAAGATTTGCATAATGCCGCCCAAATGTTCACGCAAAGAAAGAAGGCGTAACTTTTATTCTCGCTGTAGTATTGTTGCCGCCGCTGCCATGTCGTAAAGATGCTGTGTGCTTCGTTGTGAAAGCGAAACTACTTTGTTTGGTCTTCCAAAAGAGGACGATATCTGCTTCGTCATGCCTGGAGCTGATCCGTGCAGGTTGCTGAGGGAATACAACAACTTCACGCTGTGGATCGACGGATCGGCTTTCACCGTGGAGGAAGCGGAGTCCAGCCCGGGGTCGTCCCATGTGGTTGCCGCAGGCATCACAATATGGTGAGGGGCGTAACATTTCCGTCACACGCTTGAGGTATTCAGCCAATCACAACGCACTGGATAGCTGGCCAATCAGAGCAGAGCTTTTCAGACCGATGAGCTTTGTAGAAATCGACGCGTTTCAGAAAGGCGGGCCATAGAGGAGAAACAATAATGTACAGTATGTGGAAAATAATGTGTTTTTTGAACCTTAAACCGCATAAACACATTTCATTACACCAAATACATGACATAATGTTCTTTTTAGCAGCATCATATGACCCCTTTAACACCAGAGACGGCATGTATTGTACGAGGCTGCATTCACCTGGCCTGAAAGCCACTTTAATTTTGACCAATGCATCACTGCAGTCTGTGAGAAGGTATCTGGTCTTCCTGGAGTATATCCGGACAACTCCTAAAAGAAGGTGCCCTGAAGTTCGCAGACCAACTTTCATCTGGTAATGAACCATGGAGATAAATCAGATAAACGAGTCTCTAAAGTGAGCACTAACCTCATTAAATTACTTGGTTTCGTGTTCATATATGGATTAACCAGGTGCACCTTACCTGGGGCGACAGGATCTCCTTTATGGTGGTCTCTAGGTCGCATTCAAACACGTGTGCTTTGGTTACTTTCTTCTCCCAGTGGGCTGCCAGCCATATCTTGGCTAATGTGCTTCGTTTGGAGGTGAAGATTTGGGCATAAAACATCGTGATGTGTGGCGTGTCTGAGAAAACATAACGATCATGGGAGACTGCGAAGCTAGTGAAACTTAATGAACGTTTATTAACGCCACCGTACACTTAAATAGGCTACAGTCGTTCATTTACCCAGTGACATAAGACTTGGCTTTTTGTTGCGTTCAGGCTGTCATTCCAAATGCCTCCTTATACATCGTTTGTTTATTATGGCTCTGGCTCAAAACACAGTTAACTTACGCTACCGACCCAGACAGCCTCAGTAGGCACCGTTTGAACGATGCTCCAAAGTGCTGTCTAGATGGACACCAAACGTGTTGTGTGCTCGGAGTGCCTCAGGACACCTAAGAATGTTGTCTAGCTAGGGAGCTTGCTAGTTTTTGAGACGTCGTCTTGTGTAACGCTATAGCCAAATAAATACGCCAGCTGTCAAGTTTTTTTTCGCGTTCATCAGTTTCACAATTTAAGTGTCCTGGAAATGAGCTCTATTTGTTTATAAATAAATGATTAATTAATTAAGTCTAGACATCTCTTATTTTTCTAATGTAGGCCATACCTGTCGCCGCTCAGCGTGCATCAACACTGAAACAATTTCCCGCCCACTTCGCGTGCGCTTTAGTGCGGTGTTCACTATAAAAATATTCTTTATTTTATTTTTTATTTTATTTTATTTTTTTTAACGTGAGTATGAATTACGTCAAATTACGTGTTATTATAGTTTTCTTCTCGCCCCTTACCTGTGTGATTTGAATATTAGCATAAGCTTGTTGTTGTTGTTGTTGTTGTTCTAATTCAAATGCTTTGAATAACAACACAGAAAGGCATTCATAACTGAGAAATTTACACAGGCATATCAAGACTGGGATTATGCTTAATTTTCATATCACAGTCTATACATACCACATAATACATTTACGATATAACATAAAATCAAATAAAATAAATATGTTGGCGGAAAAAAACATACAAAGAAAGAAAAAGTAGGGGAGCAGGAGGCTTTTATATTATAAAACCAAAATCCTCTGACCTCTTATCCTCTTTAAAAATCACTAATCGTGGATGGATTTAGAAAAATTGACATTTATGAATGTAACATTTCAGCAAAAGCAAAAAAATAATTTATTGTAGGCTATAAGATATCTTTTTATCCAATTAACAAACCAAACCTAGCAATTTCCCCTGAGAGGACCCGTCTCGCAGGTATAGGCTAGTTTGTTGCACATTTTGTTGCTCTCTCTAATTTGCACATTTATATATTTGAGTCCCTTCTTCTTCTTCTTGAATACATTCTTACAAATGATTTTGCAGGGTATATTCATCATTTTAAAGTGCACCTCTTTACATTTAGGGTTGAAATGTAAGAAAATTGGTCCTAATTTCAGACACTATTTTTTTTTCATAATGACAAAATATATACAATCACTTTATGGGTCCTGGGGCCTGTTCCATAAAACAAGTTTACCAAATAAGCCAGGTTTATTTCAGTTAGTCTGACTTATTGTTAGTTGATTTGGTTCAAAATAAGTCAGACTAACTGAAACAAGCCTGGCTTATTTGGTAAACTTGCTTTATGGAACAGGCCCCAGGAAAACAATGCTGTAATAAACAGTTCCTCCCTTTTGTTTTTGAGAGCATTTTTTTTTAATAAACAAAGTTAACCTTCTCTATCATAAGTTCATGTATTTAGAGAATTATCGTTGAATAATTAACTTCTTCCTGTGCGGTGTTCACTATAAAAATATTCTTTATTTTATTTTTTATTTTATTTTATTTTTTTTAACGTGAGTATGAATTACGTCAAATTACGTGTTATTATAGTTTTCTTCTCGCCCCTTACCTGTGTGATTTGAATATTAGCATAAGCTTGTTGTTGTTTTAATTCAAATGCTTTGAATAACAACACAGAAAGGCATTCATAACTGAGAAATTTACACAGGCATATCAAGACTGGGATTATGCTTAATTTTCATATCACAGTCTATACATACCACATAATACATTTACGATATAACATAAAATCAAATAAAATAAATATGTTGGCGGAAAAAAACATACAAAGAAAGAAAAAGTAGGGGAGCAGGAGGCTTTTATATTATAAAACCAAAATCCTCTGACCTCTTATCCTCTTTAAAAATCACTAATCGTGGATGGATTTAGAAAAATTGACATTTATGAATGTAACATTTCAGCAAAAGCAAAAAAATAATTTATTGTAGGCTATAAGATATCTTTTTATCCAATTAACAAACCAAACCTAGCAATTTCCCCTGAGAGGACCCGTCTCGCAGGTATAGGCTAGTTTGTTGCACATTTTGTTGCTCTCTCTAATTTGCACATTTATATATTTGAGTCCCTTCTTCTTCTTCTTGAATACATTCTTACAAATGATTTTGCAGGGTATATTCATCATTTTAAAGTGCACCTCTTTACATTTAGGGTTGAAATGTAAGAAAATTGGTCCTAATTTCAGACACTATTTTTTTTTCATAATGACAAAATATATACAATCACTTTATGGGTCCTGGGGCCTGTTCCATAAAACAAGTTTACCAAATAAGCCAGG